TTTTTTTAAAGAAATGTAGAAATGCTTTTTTCCAAAAAGGATTCATTAAATTGATCCCGTCACAGTAAAGACTTGTTACAAAATATTTGTTTCAAATAAATGCTATCCTTCAAATCAGCACATTATGATTTCTGAAGGATCATGTTACACTGAAGACAGGAGTAATGGCTGCTGAAAATTCAGCTTTGCCATCACAAAAATAAATTACATTTTAAAATATATTCTAAAAGAAAACAGCTATTTTGAAATGTAATAATATTTCACAATATTATTGTATTTACTGAATTTTTGATCAAATAAATGTAGACTTGCTGAGCATAAGAGATGATTTTAACAAAACATTAACAAATATTACAGACCTCAAACTTTTGAATGATAGTGTATATATGTACACACACACAACTCGTAGGTCAAAGGCAATGACAAATCAACAACTTCGAAAGCTTGAGAAATCATTTTTAAAACAAACCATAATATTATCCACATGACTTAAAATAAATGACTTCTATAATTGCTCAACTGTTTTGAAGTTTTTTTGCAGTCAAACATTTAATCCATGGATGAGGCAAGATGCAAGGCATGATGAAAGACAGAAGAAATTCTGCAATATCCACATTCCTTTATCATTTTATCCACTTTTACGTCATTGTGCAATAACATAATACAAATAGAAAAATGTTGGCCAAATATTCTCTCCTATATCAAGCTATTAAATCACTTGGTTATTTCCATAGTATCAGGTAACATGACACTTGCACCAGATGTCTGTAGTTAGAGTGTAGTGCCTGGATGCCACGCACACGTGGAAAACATTGTTCAGATACAAAAACATCCTGTCAACCCAGAGGAGTTGCTAGAGAAAGAAAAGTGTCTGGTCACCGGTGGTGGGCCGTCAGGGCCAGCAAAGCCTTCTCTGCTGGCCTAAACATTATCAGAATCACTGATTTTGTTTTAATATATTTTTCCATGAATGTGTATTAAATTATTTCCAATAGTCTATTCTCTTCATTTCATAGCTTTTTCTCTTGGTTGCACTGCTTCCAGCAGTGTATGTTTATATTAGAGCTTTTATCCAATCATATTTCAGCAATCATGTTGCCAGGGTCAAAGAAATCTGCCTTAAGGCCTTCAGAATCAACATTGCAGGCGTCTGTTAGCTTAAATCAATGGCAACGAAACCGTTGCTTTAACCAATCAGATTTCGAGTTGGCAGCTCCAGGGCCATCTAGCTGGCTAACGATAACGTCAGCATTTTCTCGTCCTTTGATTGGATGGTCAGCGTACTAGCTAGCAAACAGCATCACTGTAAATCATTTTAGTAAAACTTTTATTACTGTTTATT